TAATCCATCACCATGACCAAGGAAGGCATTGCTGCTGGAAGTGGAATGGACGTTAACACAGCTTTACAAGAGGTGCTGAAGACCGCCCTCATCCACAATGGCCTCTCACATGGAATCCGCGAAGCTGCCAAAGCCTTAGGCAAGTGCCAAGCCCATCTCTGTGTGCTTGCCTCCAACTGTGATGAGCCAATGTAAGTCAAGTAGGAGGAAGCCCTTTGTGCTGAGCGCCAAACCAACCTGATTAAGGTAGACAGCAAGAAGCTTGTGGAATGGGCAGGACTCTGCAAAAGTGATCGAGAGGGGAAGCCCAGGAAAGTGGGCTTGACAGTCACTATCATGTGACATTAGTACCAAGGGATGCAGTAAGCTTTGGGATTCCATATGCAACCTACCCAACCCAAAGAAATAGCTCCCAAAGTCTCTTTCAAACATTTCTGTAAACATGATCAATCCACATACAGGATCCCATAACCTAGGGATTCAGGGAATGGGACCCAAGACAGATCCAAGGTGCCCCTGGCCTTCCAGGTTGGGCTCTCTTTACTCCAGGGCACATTTGCAGTGTTTAAAGTGTGGAACTGGAGTTCCTGAGTGGTGTAAGTTGTTTCTGAAAAAGGAGAATTCATGCATCTTCTCTGGGAACACTGCAGAGGCTGAGTTGGCAAATAGTTGCTTTACTTCCCGTGCAAATTTCTCTATTGGAAATAGAGTGGGATGATGAACACCCACCCACAGCATCCTCTCAGACAAGGTCATCTCTGGGCTCACATCCTCCAACATAGCGGACATACAGCAAAATCATCCTGATTCCTGAAACTCACCACCCAGCTCCACCTACTCAAGGAAGGACAAGTTTTTAGTCTTGTTTTGAACTTTTAGAAGAATCTTTGAATTTCTCTGTCATAACTCTCTATCATAACTATCATGTTCTTCAATCATCTATTAATAAGTATTCTTAAACAATCCATTTGTTCTAGAAAAACCCAGCTTTGATGTATGAAAACAAGTTGCAAGTTGCCATTAAACCAAAGAAAGAAGCAGAGAAACCCAGGACTGAGGGAAAATGTGATTTTTCTTTCCCACAGTACTGGATAATTTAGCTCATGGGCTTGCACAAGCTAGGCAGGTGCTCTCCCACTGAGCTACCACCTTACTCTCTCACTTGCTGACAGATGTAAAAGTGAATATCAACAATATCAAAAGTGAACTTTTCCTGGGGTAATACGGAAAAATTATCTACTCACCACAATTAGAGAAGCAACGATAAAAATCAAGAAATGATTCCACCAACTACCATTTGGTGAGCCAGTGAATTCAATTTGGTTTGCCTATTTGAGGAAGTCAGATTAAAGAAGTTTATACAGTAGGCAGAACAAAAGTGACATCATTGTAGCTAAACGTATCTGGTTTACCAAAGATCACATCGAAGACATTCCTCAAATTTCTGGCACTGACTGCCTTAGGATCCTGTTGTAAAGCTACACATACCTCTCCCATGGTTGTCTTTATGAAGACAGTGTGCAGAGGAGTTATGTGACAGAAAGCGGCTGTGGTCAGGTCACTCAGGAGTCAATTGTGGTTACAACTCAAGATGACAGCAGTCAATGAGGGCACCAACAGCATTTACAGAATCAGCAACAGTCAGTAATTTCACAGGAAAGACGTATCCTCCTAACTAGTCTTCTCAC